GCCGAGCGTGTCGAGAGTCCTGCTGATCCTTGCTCGTAAACTTGCTCGGACTCCAGACGAGTCCGGAGAACCCGTCGACGATCCGCACATGACAGTCGGACCTGGTTCATGGACGAGACGGCAAGAGGAAAAGCGGAGTGAGTGAGTGAGGGAAATCGAGGGAAGGAGGTGTCGGGGAGGTTCGCCTCGCTGGGTCTTAGGGGGACAACAGAATTGGTGTGGTAAGGAATTTTTGTTATACTGGTGGGGCTGGGGGGTGGGGGGCTGTGATATGGTGGTGATCGTTGTTGGTGCGTGCGTGAGTTAAACGGGAGAAGGTTCAAGGAGGATTAACGGAAGTTGTTCTGGTGGGAAACGTTTTGGGGTTCGGAGGAGGTGCGTGGAGAGAGTTGCAGCGTGGCGTGCTACGACCCGTGGCAGCACGGAAGTATGAAGCGCATAAAGAGCGCACCGTTGGCCGCTGCTTGTCATAGTCGCCGGTGAATGTGTGACCCGGGGGCAGCAGAGATCCACCGTAATGACGACCGAAGAGGCGACCGAGCAGCCCCCGGTAGACGACTGCCTGAAGGAACGGAAATGGTGGTGCTTCCTACTATCGAGCATCTTCACTTTCCTCGCCGGGCTGCTGATCGTGCTCCTCTGGCGTGCGTTCGCCTTCCTCTGCTGTCGCAAGGAACCCGAGTTCGCTCCAAATGACCCGAAGCAGAAGGAGCAGAAGACGAGCCGCCAGGGCAAGGAGTTCGAGGGGACTTTTATGACCGAAGCCAAGGACTGGGCCGGTGAACTGATTTCTGGACAAACCACCACGGGCCGTATTTTGGTAAGTAACGCTACTAACCTGACTTCAGTCGCTAACTTTTGATAAACAAATTTTGTATACGAAAGTTAAACGCTTTTCACCAACGCGGTCCCTTTCTCGTTACTGCGTCCTTTCGCACAAGTACGAAGGTCACCTTCAGTTTTTCAATGGAATTGTATTCCTGTCGAATTGTTGCTAGGTGTATTACTATCGGGTGTTCTGTTTCAAATTATTGTCGAGGATTTCGGTTAAAATTATTGTCAGGTTCATTTGAAATCATCAGCTACTACATAAATCACTTTTGATGTATTGAATGATATCAAGTTTGAATGAAAAGTATCAGGCATTTCGATATAAAGTTATTGTGAGCTATTGATGGTGGGATATCGAATTAGTTGGTACACCTGATACCTCACGAATTTGAATAAAGTACGAAATTTTGCGTAGAAAAGTATTGAGATTAGGTCAGAAGTTAATAGTTATGTTTGCATAGTAACAATTTTGTTTGTAAGATACGTGTCTCAGAAATCATCAATTTCATAACAGGATTGTATAAGTCTAAATGATGATTTCCTAAAATTAACAATATAGTAGGAAAGAATTAATTTTCATTGATAATTATGAAGTATCGAAATGGTCAACAAAGGAGATGTTCCATGTTGCACTTAGAAACTGATTATGATCTCAATGATTATGAACTCATGCAAAAATCTGTATAGATCCGTAATATCCATTTTTAAATCACTCATGTCATCCGATAATTGCATCATTCTTATAAGATCACTGTCTCATAATACAATTGTCAATGTAAAAAAAATCATAGACGAAGCTAAAACCGTAAAAAACAAAGAATCCACCTTTACCATAATCCACACCTAAACATCACCTATTCGTTTATTAAAAATTATATGAACAGGACTTTGAAAAGCGCGTGCAATTTTGTGAATGGTTGCTGTCGGAAGCAAAGTACGAATGGTACATTTGTGGACCGAGGAAGCATTAGAAGTAAATTTGAAAAAATATGCACTACGAGCAGCAGAGAATCCGTATAGGCTTCGAAATCGACATTAGTGAAATGCGAATGTTAGATGCGGCATAGGTCAGCGGATCATTGGACCGTATTTCATTAATGGATCATTGATGGGTCCATATTCCACTTTTCTGTTCAAAGTATTACCAGGTCTGTTGGAAGGTGTCTGATGGGTTTAAGAATGTGGTATCGTGTCTTGCACATGTAGTTAGTACTAGTTATCTAGTTATCTAGATACTATTTATCTAATTAACTAGTACTAGATTGTATGAGATGTTAGGGAACTCCTGAGAAGATTTACTGTTAGATTGAAAATGAAGTACAAAAGTAAATACTGAAGCATCGACTAATCCTTAGGTCGGCAAAATATGGCAGATATTTGAAGATGGTAAAATTTTGTAATGCGAAACCTGAAACTAGAACTAGCAAATTTTGGTGGTTGCTGTGTTAAACAGAATGCTTGATCTGGATTAGACGTGGTAGTAGCGTTGCTTGGTCAGCCCGCCCGCCAGATTAAGCACCGCTCGATTATTTCCTTCGGGAGTGCTAAAAAAGGTTAATCGCGACTGGGATATGCAAGAAATGTTCGCACACGTGTCAACTAAAAGATTGTCATGTATCGTGCACTCGTCATCAAATTAAAAAAGTATAATCCTTTGCACTCTGAAAGTTTATTTTGTTATTTCAAATATTTCCTCAGAGGGGAGTGTGAAGTGTTAATAATAATAAAAATAATTATACTTCAAGCTTGAATTGAAAATTTCCGCACCTCGGTAAGTATTTTAGACACCAACCCTTCTAATACCTTTTCATAAAAAATTTCGTGCTGTATACAAAGTGAAATAGTTATATTAGGTCCCTTGAAAAACTGAAGGTGACCAGATTTTGATAATAAAAGAACAAGAAAGGAATTACAGAACCGTGTCTGACTGTAATCTGGAAACAAAGTTCTGTTTGACAGGGTTTTTCGCAGAGAGAGATTTAAGAGTTATTTAAAGTCACGTTACGAGACTCTCCCTGTATTGCAGGCATGTCAAACACGCGGTTCGCCGACAACTTGTCTGTGGATCGACAAAAATGTTAACCAACGTGATTGTTCGGCCTTTGACAACAATCAAAGGATATTTTTAATTAAAATTGCGGGGTGGTAGTTTGATACGAACTCGTTCGGAAACGTTATGTACGTTCTAACGAGGTTTGAACGTATTGATAGCTATAAGTATTGTAGAATTTTTAAGAATTTTATGAGTATAGTAATGTAGGAAAATTAGGATATTCGGAGGGTATTGTGAGGGGATTTAAAATCTTCAAGTTCCAAAGTTGCAAAGTTCCAAATCTTGAAGTTCCTCCATTTCGAAATTCCAAAATCTCAAAGTTACAAATCAAAAAACTCTGAAGCTTCAAATCCCATAATTCCAAAGTTCCAAATTGTTCCAAAATTCTAAAATTCTAAATTCAAAAATTTTAAAGTTCCAAATCGTTCCAAATTCTAAAATTTCCAAATCCCAAAATTGTAAAGTTCCAGTGTTCCAAAGTAAAATAATTCCAGAATCCCAAAATTTCAAAAATTCCAAAATTCAAAATTTCAGAATTTCCTAAATTCTTTCCTAAATTTCCTAAATTGTGTTTTTCTAAACAACCCTAAAGATCAAAAATAGACAAAGTAAAAAACTTTCAAAATTCAAAATTTCCCAAGTCCCAAACATCCCACCTAAAAAAAATAAAACATTTTCTGTAAACACTACTGACATTGAACATACAAAAGGTTAAAAAACCTTTCTTTTAGCGTCACAGAGAGCAGTAATTTTTTTGCAGCAGGAGTGAACAATAAACAAGTCGAAAAACTACCAAAGAAACATTCTGTACAAGCTGTAAAAGGTTTTATCTCGATTGGTCCAACCGTCGCAGAGTAATCGCTGGACATGCATACAAAAAATACATACTCATCGAATTGTATGCCTCCTCCTCTTTTATCACAATCGGTCAATAAAATCACGGATTGCGGTGAAAAAACTGCTATCCCAAGTCCTACGTATTGGACAAGATCCATGTCGATTTATAGCGCAAAAATTACTATTTTTTGTTTATGGGGTGAGGGAAGCATACATAACTTCTTTGTGTAAAAAGAAATTGAGTGTGGGGGATGAAGGTTTAACGTGATTTACAATTTTAGTGTTTTTTGGAGCAAGGAAGGTGGAAATTATGGTTTGAATAAAATGGAGAAGAATAAATAAAGGGGAGGAATATAATGTAGCTTAAATAAATGAATAAATAAAAGGGAGGAATGTAATGTGACATAAAGAAATGAATAAAAGGGAGAAATATAAAAATGGAAGAACGTAACATAACCTAAAATATAAATACATTATAATGTAGCTTAAATAAATAGAAAAAGGGAAGAAATACAACAATGAAAGAACGTAACATAACCTATAATATAAATACATTATAATTGTAGCTTAAACAAATAAATAAAGAGGAGAAATACAACATTAGAAGAACGTAACATAACCTAAAACATAAATACATTATAATTGTAGCTTGAACAAATAAATAAAGGGGAGAAATACATTAGAAGAATGTAACATAACCTAAAATATAAATACATTATAATTGTAGCATAAATAAATAAAAAAGGGGATGAATACAGTATAATATAAATGAATAAAGAGAAGAAATGCGTTATACATTGAAATACATTATAACAACGTAACATAACCTAAAATATAAGTACATACATCTAAAATAATATAAAATATGTATAACATAACACGAAATTTAATAAAACATATGTACATATCTACATAAAGTACATACATAAAACACACATGTCCCATAGGTACAAAAAAATATAAAATAATTAAGAATGAAAAAAAAAGAAGTTGATAACGAGTGTTTCAATTTTTCGTACATAACATTGTTATAATCATTTTCAGACTCTTCTGACAAAGTTTTAATTAGAAGAATTTTATACATATACATATTCAGAAGGTACGATAATTTAGATTTTAAGAAATGCAAATGAAAAGTATAATTTTAATACAAAGGATAATTTATACATTTATACCCACAAAGGATTTATAATTTTATGAAGATAATTGATACATTTAACGCAATGGATTTATAACTTTAATACAAAGAATCATTTTGTGGAGGCAATTAATACATTTGACACAAAGGATTTATAATTTTAATACATGGAATGATTTTGTGGAGGCAATTGATATGGTTAATATAAAGGATTTATAATTTCGGTGCAAAGAATGATTTTGTGGAGATAATTAATACGTTTAATATAAAGGATTTATAATTTTGGCGCAAAGAATGATTTTGTAGAGATAATTGATACGTTTAATGTAAAGAATTGATATAGTTACCACAGAGAATTTGTAATTTTAATGCAAATAATAATTTTGTGAAGATAAATGATACATTTAACACAAAGGATTCATAATTTCAATACAAATAATAATTTTACAAAAACAATTAATGTATTCAACTCAGAGGATTTATAATTTTAATGCAAAGAGTAATTTTGTAAAAATGATACATTTAACACAAAGGATTCATAATTTCAATACAAATAATAATTTTACAAAAACAATTAATGTATTCAACTCAGAGGATTTATAATTTTAATGCAAAGAGTAATTTTGTAAAAATGATACATTTAACACAAAGGATTCATAATTTCAATACAAATAATAATTTTACAAAAACAATTAATGTATTCAACTCAGAGGATTTATAATTTTAATGCAAAGAGTAATTTTGTAAAAATGATACATTTAACACAAAGGATTCATAATTTCAATACAAATAATAATTTTACAAAAACAATTAATGTATTCAACTCAGAGGATTTATAATTTTAATGCAAAGAGTAATTTTGTAAAAATGATACATTTAACACAAAGGATTCATAATTTCAATACAAATAATAATTTTACAAAAACAATTAATGTATTCAACTCAAAGGATTTATAATTTT